CACACACACACACACACATACAAACAAACACACACACACACACACACAAACAAACAAACACACACACACACAAACAAACAAACACACACACACACATACACACACATACACACACAGCGATTACACATAACATCTCACTCCTCCTCACATTCTTCGCCATTTTCACACAACACAAAGTATAGACATACGAGAAGAAACAAGCACACAAACACACACACACAAACATACACAAACACACACACACACAACCACATACATACTCACACACACATACACTCTAACACATACACACAAACACACACACATAAACACACAAAAACTCACACAAACACACACAAACATAATAATATACACAAAAGATCGCGAGCACAAATTCAGAATGACAATGTTCACTCCATCTTTTATGATGATGATAATATTATCTAGGCCTTTTGAATTATAAAAAAAATGAAATTATCATCTTCATCATTGCTTTTCTCACCCTGCACCAGGGTACAGACCACGGCAAACACTTTCCACCTTTCTCTATCCTGGGCTTGCCTCTGGATGTTATTCCATGTCTTCCCACTTTCTGTACATCACTTTCTGTAATTCTTCTCCAGGTTCGTCCCCTTGATCTTTTATAATGAAAGTATGTGTTGTGATTATTATGCTGTTCTATAGATCTATAGAGGAAATTCTTGTCCACAAGTATATGCCCGAGTTCTGTTTTCGTTGTAATTGTTATGTTTTACCTTTCAATTTAATCATTGAATTGTACAATATGTAGGTCTATCCGAACTCGAATTCTACACCGAGCCTTTTATCCAAGTGGTACTGTCCAACGGGAATTTTATATAAAAATCTTCTTTAATGGTTTTATACACCTCGCTTAATTTTGCAAAATTTGATCATTTTTTGCATAATTTCTGGTTATTTACCTATATCATTCTTTGTTAAAATGAACAGAATCGCATAGTTTCACATTTTTTGGGCTCTGTTAGCATAATTTCAGAAAAAAATTTTTGTCGTATAAAACCGCGAGGACAGTTTAAAGAAAATTATCTGGGTGATTTAAAAATTATTTTTGAAATTTAATTAATTAAATTATTTATTTATTTATTCAATTATTTGTTTATTTATTCAAGATATTATATTTTTTCTGGCTAATATCACAGGAGGTAAATACATGCGTTACCGTGTAATGAGAGTAGATGTATTTGAGATTTAATTCAGCTTGCTAAATTTATTTTAAACCAAAATAATATTTTCAAACAGAAACCAATCAATGTACTTAATATATAAAGCGGCAACGTCATGTTATTGAGTAAGCTTTTCGTTTCATGATTGTATTGCGTGTAGTGTGTTGTGAAATACTAATTGTGCCTTAAATTCCTCAATGCAATTGTCCCTAAATTGACTCTTTAAATCGCTACCTCAGAATGACAAAGTTTTATCTGATATTTTTGGCTGTTTTTAAATACTAAGACCATGAGATAAAAAAAACAACAAATGTTCTTTCTTCTCTATCATAAGATTATCGTAAGAAAGATTATTCGGAGTAGTTATCAAGATATTCAAAGAATTGCATTCAAAAAACACTTGACATGTTTAGTTCTCAAAAGTTCTGAGGTAGCGAAATACATAATCAGAATACATGTACTGCGGTTTAACCCTTCATAATATGCTAGTGTGATGGACTTCGATCTGCTTTGGCATCACTCTATACAGAAACAATATTGTAGAGCTTTACAGAAATAAAATGTGTTTTACTGACAAAAATATGGGTTTGATTCTTTAACTGATGTGGTCTGTCCCCAGTCGAAATTACGGACGACTAAAGGTAAGTGGAAAAAGAAGGCATTATTATAAGTTTGATCTGTCTTGTAAAGAAAGATTCTCTGGAGGTCAAATTTAAAAAAAGTTAATAAACAGCCCCTAAAAAGTGGTTTAACCTACATTTTCATGTAATATAGGTAGAGGGCGCCACTATCGACACACGAAAGTATGTACCAAGCCATTAATAATTATTAACGTACAACATGCGGAAAGAGGAACAATTGATGACACCGATAAGGTAGACCTACAAAGTCATCCATTGTGTCAAGGAAAAGATATTAAGATGGCTGCTAGCTATTAAGCAGCTACTTTCTGAAATCCCTAACATATAAACCTGTTCTGGTGACAAGCATAATAGTTTTGGCAACATTATGGTTACCATTGTATTGTATTCGTATGGTACAGGTTTATGGGGGTTCAAAGCACTTATAAACGCTGTAGGCTTAGAGTTTTTTTTAAAAGTAGGCAGGACCTATCTGCGCGCGCGTCCGTCTCTGATTGGACCCAACCAAGCGGTCGGAGAGCCTTGCTAAAGTTGTGTAAGTGTGTGTGTGGGGGGGAGGGGGGTTAAGTTGACGATTTTGGGTCAATTTATGGTATCTGGACTGTTTACACACTTACACAACTTTAGCAAGTGCACTGGCTAAATGACTTATTGTGGCAAAACAACCGACAGAGTGCATCCTCGGAATTACAATGTTCTATTTGCTCAGTATGTGGTTTTGAGAAATTTCAACGTCAAAGATTTTGAGCTTCACATGTCAATTTTTTTTTCAAAAGTATTTCTTTGAATATCTTGATGGCTCCAAATGACCGTACGACTTTGAAAGAGCAGATAGACAATTTGGTTTTTGATCTTATGGTCTTAGCAACTCAAAACAGCCAAAAATGCTAGATAGAACTTTCTGATTCTGAGGTAGCGAAGGGGTAGTAGAGCCACTGTTAGTAGTGTTAGTGGAGAACGAGATGCCAGAGTAGCCTACTCATGTTGGTGGGACAATACTTTTACTATGCCATTTGACGTGTGCCCGTCATGGGCCTTATTCATCTTATTCATCACAGCGTGCAGAAGAATTTTTTATTTTTTTTTTGGGGGGGGGGTAAATGACGAAAGATTTGAATAG